TATATTAGGATGATACCAATCAGTTATCCCTTACTTCCTCACCTAGTACTGCAGCAAGACAGAGCCTGGTGAGGCATGAAGAACCACCCACAGACATGACAAACCCAAACCCCCAGCTCTGTGTGTTCTCCATTCCTGGACATGACTTTAGGGCTGACTTTAAGTCTCTGCCTTTGCTGCTTGGGCTAGCCTTCCAGAGGCAGGCTCCAGCTCAGTGAAAAAGCCTGGGGTCCTGGAGGTCACTGAGTCTTACTGGATGTCTCGAGGGACCTCTCCTGGGGCTCCAGTGAGGTGGATTTCTTCCTGCCCAGGTTCATTAGGTTGCTCAGTTTGAGGCCAGCAGAACATTTCTTCTTGACTATCAGGATGAGAGAGAAAGCAATCAGTGTTGACCATGTTGCCTACCCAAGTGCAAACTCATCTCTACCTGCTCCTCCCAGCCTATACACAATCATGTGCGCACATACACACAGATACATCTGTTCCACACAGTAGGATCTTCAGGACAAGTCAGCTATCCCCAAAGTCACATACTTGGGGAATACACAGACATCTCAGAGTAGGTGAACATCAGAGAATCTTTACAGAGTATATGACTTCAAGGAGTTTTGGCACAAAAAAAGAGCTGGAAGAATGTTCTCTTCCCCAGCCTGGAGCAAAACATAACTTTAGTTTGGCCATCTCTCCCTTTGTTCTGTTGGAGGCCATGTTAGATCAGCTGCCCCCAAGATAATTAGGGTTGAGCCATGTGGCCAAGTCTCACACCCTACGTACTGTTGGCCCTTCAGCCATAAGGTAGAGAGCCACAATCTGGTTACCGTCTTTGGTCTCTGGGACTTCAGGATGCCCATCAATGGCGCTTCCATACTCCGAAGCTGACAGGTACTTCTCGGCTATATCTGGCTATAGACAACAAAGAGATGAGTGGGGATCACTAACTGGAAATGGTTACCTTAGAGACTAAAATTTAAAGGCAAATAGAATGACTCTTGTGAGTATGCCAGAAGTCACTTGAACAAAACTCCATTGGCCAGAATCCAGACTTCTGGAAAGAAACTGGCCAAACTTCCTTTGGGGGCTCTCTGGAGCACCGACTATCACCCTCCTTCTGGAGGCCCCTGCCTCAGAATAGCTCTCCTGTCCTCAGGAGAGGTTCCTTGTTCACAAGTGGTCCAAATGACTGTTCCATCTGATATGATAGTGGGCCCAGAGCCAGTGGGAAAGCAGGTAGGCAGCTCCACAGCTGAGTTGATATCTGAGTTGTTATCCCTGCTGAAGTGTTCAGGGAGCAGACTGTACTAGCCACCCACAGAGCTCCAGAGCCTGGGGAGAGGGTAGCTGCTGGTGGTCAAATGTGAAGTACTTAGAATGTTCCAGTCAGGCTTCTAGAAAATCACTAGAAAGCAAGCTGATGGGCCCCAGCCACTGGGTCAGCCCAAGCAGGACCCCAAGATGATGGAGCCTGGCCAGGGAAGCTCTGCAGCTATGAGCAGAACCCTCATTCTCACCCCAGTGGGAAGGGAACCCAAATTCACTCCTGTCTGCAGTCAAGGAATGAGTGAGACCTTGAAAGCATCAGCCCCACTTCAATCCCACAGGCTGGCCTGTGGAGGCCTCTCCATGTGGTCTGCAGCTTTCAGAGAACAAAGGACCCCTCCTTGCTTGAGCCCTCCGTGTGCCCTCTTGCTGTCCTCCCTGTCAGTGCTGGGGATCCTCTGGCTGCTGTGTGCATGCCCAGGTTTCAGGGTTCCTGCCTGCTGAGACTCAGGGATAGGAAAACTGCACTCAGCCAAATTTCCTTGACCCTCAAGCTCAAAGCACCCTGTAGCTCTTTGCAAAGGAACACTGGAGCCCTTGGTCAGGATCAGCATCAAGGTGGTTATATGTGAGTTGGAGAATAGGGGTTAGGAGAAGAACAGTCACAGCCTTGTAAAATAAATCTCCATCAGTGTGGACAGAGATTTTACAGAGGATATATTTCAAATAAAGACCTTAGTCAAATGATTTATGAAAAAAAAATATCCACCTTAAGAAAGTAGGGTAATTCACAACTGTCAAATTGCAAAATCAGTCTAGGATGGTTGAAGAAAATGCAGTATATTCACAGTGAAGTTTTATTCAGCCACAAAGAATGAAATTACATCATTTCCAGGAAAATGGATACAACTGGAAAGTGTCATATTAAGTGAAATAAATCAGATTCAGGAAAACAAACCATGTTTTCCTTCATTTGTGTAGCCTATACGTGACATGAAAACGGGAGTGAGTGTCTGGTAGAATGCAGGAGCGGCAGCAGGGAGGGTGCATGGTATCCTTTATGAAACCGTCTTCATGAAACATATCACTATGTACAACGAATGTGTGGCACTGACAGTTTATATGGAATAAGAATGCAGTGGCTGGAGAGATGGCTCAGCAGTTAAGAACACCAGCTGCTCTTACAGAGGACCCAGATTCGGGTCCCAGCACCCACATGGTGGCTAACAACTATCCATAACTCCAGTTCCAGAGACTCCTATGCCCTTTTCTGGCCTCCACAGGCATTGTATGACATGAGTGCACTTACATACAGAAAACTTATAAAATAAACATACATAAATCCCAAAAAGAAAAAAAAGAATGCAAGGGCCAGTGTGGTTGTGCATGCCTTTAATCCCAGCACTCAGGAGGCAGGGGAAGGCAGATCTTTGTGAGCTTAAAGCCAGCCTAGTTTATATAGGGAGCTTCAGGCCAGCCAGACCTCCATAATGAGGCCCTGTTCCAAAAACAAAATAAGCAACAACAAAAAGAATGTGGCAAAGTGACATTTGTTTCAATAACACTTCTCCCTTAAGCAAGAAAACAGGTCGGTATCCATTTCATCCATTTTCTTGCCAAGCTAGTTTCCTGCCGTTACCTAAGCATGGTATGTTTCTTATTGAGCTGAAATATGAAAACAAGGATTCCAACTTTATACTCTTAAGTTTTACCAAGTAAACAGAACTGGAGCCTGTCTCCGGGCAGGTGAAGCCTTACTTTCTGACAGGTCAGGCGTTGGGCATCTGGGGTATACTGGTTTCCCTCAGAGGCTCCTTCGGAAGGCAGACCGCTCACCTCCTGGATGACCTGGATTGAAGGGGGTGCCATCAATCAACAGAGACCAGGGTCCCTGAGTGGCCCTGGTGCTCAGCATGCACAGCCAGGACAAAGCTGGGAACCTCAAAGCTAGGGGAGAGTGGGTAGAAGAGAGAAAAATGACACAGACCTTCAGAGGGAACAGAGGCACCCCTACCCCTAGCCCACACACGTTCTCTGGACACAGCTGGTCAGCTATGCTGAGGAGAATTTGTGGCTCAGGCCCTTTCCTGCAGGCGCCTTCCTGTAGGGCCTGTATTCTGGGGGTGTGCCAGGGGCTTTTGCAGCAGGGACCACAACAGGTGACAAGGCAGCCAGCTCTGCCACCATTAGGGCAGGAGTGCTGTCCTGCCTCAAGTGTGATGACCAGCTGTACTTCCTGGATGGTTTCCTGGCTCTCAGGGGACTGTGGGCTTTCTATGGAGTCTCTGCACCAGTAAGAAGAAGGCTTGGATACTGTCTCCATCTGATGTGGGCTCTGCAGACTTGCGCACCAACATCCACCACACACTCTTCTGGAAAGGAATTATTTAGCTGGCACTCAGGGTCTGGTCTGGAGACACAGAAGGTCAAAGATGGCTCTGACTTCACTAAGCAGTAATGCACACCACACACACACACACCAGCTTCTGAGCCCAGGGCCACATTGGGGATTCCTAGAGGGAGAAAACTTAGGGAACACACATACATATGCACACAGAGCCCTTCCAAAAGCCCTTTGGAGGACATTAAGAGCAGCTTCAAAGGACTCTCCTTTTTCGAAAAGTCTCTGCCTACAGCAGTTAGTAGAAGTGGGTTTGAAATCAGAAAAGTAAAACAAAGGAAAGAAGCAACCTGGGGGAGGAGAGGCAAGGTCTTTCTCGCTTCCTAGCCTGCCCCAGTTAGGGACAGGGGACATGTCCCAGTCATGGGAAGAGGACAAGCACTGGAATTAGCAGTCTAACTGTGTGATCTTGGGTCCAGCTTCAGTCACCGCACCCTTATCACCGGACAACATAGGTAACATAGTGTAAAATATTCAGCACAGGGTAGGTGCTTTCATTCCTGTCCTCATTAGCACAGAGTATACAGATATCTTGCTTGGGGAAGGGGCTGACCAGCCCTGTCATGCTGCAGGAGTGGGCAGCTTCTCAGAGGCAGGCACGTAGAGCCAAGGCCACTTTGCATTCATTTCACCAGGGAGGAAAAGGGTTTCTCTGTGCAGCTTGGACACAGAGCCAGTATCTTCTGAAAGCACTCTTGTTTTTGAAGCAACCAGCAGGGGTTATGAGGGCAGGAGTCTCAGGAAGAGGTGTGAGAATTTGAGAAGGGAGGGTAAGGGTCAGAGGAAGGATAGGTAGGGCTGAGCAGACAGAGGAACAGCTGTGGGAACTGAGAATCAGGGCAATATGCATGTGTCCAACTGGGCTTGTGTGTGTGTGGTGTGAGTGTGTGCATGTATGCGTGTGTGTGTGTGTGTGTGTGTGTGTGTGTTGTGTGTATACTTAGAGGATGAGAATGGAGAATGCTGATTGAAGCCAAAGGGGAGACCTGGGTAAGAAACAGGAGTTAAATACCTCATCAGCAACTCAGAGCCCTGGGTCCCAGTAGCTCTGCAGCCCAGACCAGCCCCTTGCCTTCTTTGGGTCTCAGCACACTCATCTGTGCTAGCTGAGCTGCCTATACTCAGCACACACTGGGCATGGTGCTGAGCACTTTGGATGCATTAAGGATGCATGATCACTCAGCTAAGAAGGGAGAACCGGGTTTTATGTTAAGCCCTCATATGCCAGGCTTAGCCTTTTGGAGCCAATATTCTCTTAGGGAACCCCCCCACAAAGAAACACCCCTGCATACTTGTTTGCACAATGACCCTTGTTCTACATGACAGTCCATAACCACCTAAAAATTCTTCCTTAGGATTGAAGTAGCTGTGAGCCTCCTAGGAGATTGGTTTGGCCAGACTTAAGACATTTAATGGTTTCACAAAACAGCTTGCCTACTTTCAAATCTAGAGTACTCAGCACTCTGGGTGGCCAGTACCTGGGCAGGTACCAGCTTCTCTCATGCTTTAATAAGGCAGTTCAGGTACTTTTCTGACAGGCTCACTGTGATTTTGCAGGGGGGGGTGGATACAATGCCAGACATTGCTAATGTGGGCATAATTGGGGAGCACAGAGCAGGAAGAACAGAGAGGCTATCTCTGGCTCTCAACTGATCACAGGGGAACTGTGAGTCCTTTCTTGCTCCAAACTGAACACTTACTGGGCCCACCAAGCTCATCTTCTTTAACTTGGACAGGCAAGCCCCTTCCTTGGGGTGTCATCACCATTGAACACCTAGGGTACATGATGACAGAGCTGCTCATTTGCATCTGGGGTCGCGACAGTCCCAGGTCTGCCATCCATTGCTGCCATTCATTTGTCAGGTGATCTTGATCTGTTACCTCTGCCCTTTGAGTCTTAACCTCCAATCTTATAAAGCAGGCAGGTGTTACCACTGCCCAGATACCCCTAGGGTTAAATCTGCTCGAAGCCCACAGGCCATGGTACATACTTCACAGATGCAGCAATACCTACTGTTCTTTAGCATGGAACAAGGTGATGCCTTTCCAGAACGTAAAAGGCAAACGGACTCCAACTTCAGCCATGTCTTGGCTTCCAAGGATTCAGACTGAGCAGCAAAGTGTTGTTCCTGCTCGGTGACAATGATTGCCTGTACCCGGAATGCAGGAAGCCCTGGGCACCCGAAGGATCTCAGATCCTCTCTCCACCCTTGACCAACTCATCTATCCCTTTAGAAGAAGCAGGGAGTTAGAACGCCACAGTCTCTCACTGGAGGAAGCAGTTTGGATTCCAGTGGTTTGGCCTATCCCACTCACCCGGAGCCACTGCTCGGCTTGGTCCTTGCTTTGCAGGCCCAGGACAATCACATCGGCGTTCATAGGTATGATCTTGAGCTTGTGCTCCTTCTTCCGTACTTGTTTCTCCTTGTGAATGACACTGCTGCCCAGCAAGTTCACATCCAGCTGAGGACTGTGATCCTTGGAGGATTTATAACACTGGAAGAGAAAAGATGCTACTTTGCCAGGGGTGGGTGGAGAGGGATTCTGCAAAGGAGGGGCCCTTGGACACTGAAAATCTCCTCTCTTGAGAGCCTGATTATATCCCCAAACCAGAAGGCTGGATACCTTAAGGCAGGCCCAGGGCCTTACCCTCAAATATTAGTTCTCAATGTCGACTGTCTCTCTCCAAACCTCCTTCTCCCTGACCTTGGCCAGGGATATTCCATTATCTGGACCATCCAAATGGCTCTACCTTGCTCTGGCTCAGGGAGGGAGGCTCCTCAAATACAGTCATGTACCACTTAGTGACCTGGTCAATGACAGATAGCAGCAATGGACAATGGCCTCATAAGACTACATTGCTGAATGACAGTTATCTTAGTTTGTGTAAATACACACTGTGATGCTCACAGAACAATGACATCATCTAACGACACATTTCTCAGAATGTGTCCCACCATTAAGCAGTGTATGACTGCACATCCCCTGTGGACGGCTCTCATTTCTCCACAGTAGAACAAGCTTTTACCATTTCTCTATTTCCCTACATATCTTAGCTTCCCCAGCAAGGGATCATCAGGAAGAGAATCCAAGCTTATGATCTGTTTTGCTAGGTAATAGAATTCAAAGGAAGAGAACTTTTCCCCTGAAATATGCTGTCTTTCAGTAGCTCATAAAATGATGGTCCTCACAGGACTCCTAAGCAGCATCACCTGAAATAACATCTACACAGAGCTGGACACATTGTCGCCAGAGTGGGAAAAGGTACTTATAATGATCCCATGGAACTTTAAATTCAGGACTTAAAACTGTGAATTTTTTTATTTTTATTTATTTATTTTTTCGAGACAGGGTTCTACTATGTTACCTAGGCTGGTCTTGAGTTCCTAGACTCAAGGAATCCTCCTGCCCAGGAACAGCTAGAACTACAAGTTCATAGCCAACCACACTCAGTTCAAAACGGTGAATCTTAATTTAAAATATCAGGAAGCAGGACTATTGTCAGAGTAGAAGCTCGGTTCCTCTATGGTTTTGACTTATAGTAAGTCTTGTAGCTTTGGATTCCTCCAATCCTCATGTTCCTTGAACCAAATCAGTAGGCAGAACTGGGGCTGGGGGCTGGGCTGGGGGAGCCACTGGGTTCCATCAACAAGATGTGGAGAAGAACCAAGGGACAGAAAGGTCTCTTTGTCTCTCTGCCTCTCTTTCTCTCTCTGTCTCTCTCTTTCAAAAAAAAGTATGTAGAGACAGGTGTGGTGGTGCATGACTATAATCTCAGCATGAGAAAGGCTGAGGCAAGAGGAGGATTAGTTCAAGACCAACCTGTTTTACATAGTCAGACCCTGTTACATACTCAAACCTTTCTTTAAAAAAAACCAAACCAAACAGAAACAACAACAAAAAAACCAAGGTGCATGAGATGAGATGGGACGGGATGGGATGGGGAAGGGGTAACCTGCCCCCTATGAGAGCTACATTAAAAATGACTAGATCTTCCCAATCCAGAATGGATTCATCTGTACTCACAAAATTCTGCACGTCATTTTGAGTTAGGGAGAGGTTAAAGTATCTTGCTATCAAAGGCTGTCAATGTCACATCTACCAATATCACATCAAGGAACAACCCCCACACCATTCCAAGAGAGAAGACAGGGACTAACCAAGAGCCTGGTGTCTCTGATCACACAGAGCTGCTTGGCCCATTGGCCCAGCCACTTCTTACGCCACAAGAAGGCACAGATACGAGCATCACGCATCAGCTCGATGCTGGCCTCCGGTGAGGGCCACTGATAGGGGGCTGTCTTGCCTTTGCTGCTCTCCTCTTCATCGTAGGACTCATAGGAGCTGCTCACAGCCTCTCCGTCCTCTGTAAGGAAGACCCACAAAGTCAGGGCCCAGCTGGGCAAGAGTATCCCTATACATGGAACACTGGGGAGGACGGCAGGCAGTGGGCAGCAGGCAGGAACAGCCAGAGGTCCCAGGCTACTACCCACCTGGCCCTTCTGTCCTTGAAACAGCTCAACAGTTACCAACTCAAAGCTAGGACTGGCTTTCCATCTCAAGCTCCCTTGGAGAAATTTCTTAGATGCTAACTTGGACCACAAAGTGCATTTCCCTCCCCAAACCCTGTCTTCCTAGATTCCATGGACATACCCGAGGAAACCCAGCCCTGCAGACAAACTGCATGCTTGTCTGAGGGCGTCTAGTTCCTCAGCCAGCCAGGTGAGGCTGGGCTCTGCCCCAGATTGGAGAGGGGTCTAGTTCTACAGGGAGGGAGAGAGGGAGGGAGGGAGGGAGGGAGGGACCCACTCCCTTTCTCTCCTTGCTGAATAGCCCTAATCTCCTCATCTAGCATCTACTGCAACATCTTTTCTTGTTGCTGGCCGGAGCCTACCTTATATTCTTGCTTGAAAGGATCCCCAAGCTCACCACAGCACAAATCATGCATAATTCAGTGCACACCCTACCTTCCTCCATGTCTAGCTTCTGTCCCTACTATCTGACCAGAGTTCTTCTCTTCTCTAGCCTCACAGTGTTCAAGACCAACAGAAATCATGCAAAGAAAAATCAATGTACTTTCTATCCATTCATAAGTGTATTCATGGATGGACCCATCCATCCACCTACCCATCCATCTATGTATGGGTATATCCACCTATCCACCCGCCAATTCATCAATGCACTGATACATCTATCCATTCATCTATGCATTGATATAGCCATCCATCCACCCACCCAGTCATCAATGCATTGATATATCCATCCATTCATCCATCCATCCACCTACCCATTCTTCAATGCACTGATACATCAATCTATCTGTCCACCCACCCATTCACCCATCTATGCACTGATATATCCATCCATCCATCCATCCATCCACCCACCCACCCACCCATTCATCAATGCACTGATATATCCATCCATCCATCCATCCATTTATCCATCCATCCATCCATCCACCCACCCATTCATCAATGCATTAATCCATCCATTCATACCTCCACCACCCACCTATGCACGCACGCGTGCACACACACACACACACTCATTTGTGCATTAACACACCTATCCATCTACCCTTAAAAAGCAGCATGAGAAGAAAATGGAACTCTGGGACACCCGAGACAGCCCCGCTAAGCACAGAAATCCTATCTAATGATCTTGACATTCTGCCTGAATCCCCAATGGATATGGAACTCACTACCCCTCCTTCCCATCACTAGACACTCCCTTCTACTCAGAAAATGGGCTCAATGGCTGCTTCCCTATGCCTTCCAAACAGTAGTCCCTGTTCTGTCCCTGTGTCAAAATGAACAACACCCCCTGCCATCCCATGACTTCCTTCAGGAGACACATAACACATGGCCCTCCAAGTCTTCCCAAAAGAATTCAGAAGTCCCTGTTGTATCGTCATATCTGGGTTCCTGCATAGGAGGAAAACAGATTCAAATTTGAAGTAGAACATAGGAAAATGGAACACCGCTACTGCAGTAGTTATTGGAGCTATGAGGCCAACAAATATATTTTGTTTCAATATTTCTATAAGTAATACTTTAATACTAGCTTTCTTTTTATTAAAATATTTTATTATTTTTATTCATGCATATGAGCATATTGCCTGCATGTATGTAAGTGGATCCATGTTGTGCAATGCTGTGGAGGTCAGAAGAGGGCATCAGATTCCTTGAAACTGGAGTTATGATGGTTGTTAGCCACCATGTGGGTGCTGGGAATTGAACTTAGGTCCTCTGCAAGAGCAACCAGTGCTCTTGACTGCTGAGCCATCTCTCCAGCCCCAACACCAGTTTCCTTTAAAAGCAATATGATACTACTCATCTTCCTGGCTTAAAAAAAGATACACGGTTCATAGTTCATACCTACTGTACCTATTAAATAAGCAAAGATAGAAAAAGCATGATACTTCCCAGCAGGGGACTCTGAGCTCTCATGTTGCCATGGCACTGAAAATTCACATAACACTCTCAGAAAGCTATCTGGCAGCCTGTTGTTCAAGAGTCATAAAACTCCCATATTTTCTGATCCAAAAATCAGAGTTTTGAGAGTTTATCCTAGGAAACTAGCTTTCAAAGAAGAGGAGGGGGCCAGCAAGATGGCTCAATGGGTAAGGACACTTGCCACCAAGCCTGCCACCTGACCTCCACCCATGCACTGTAGCACACGTAGGTATGAGTATACACACACACCAAATGTAAAAAAATTTTTTTTTAATTTAAACAAGTGGAGAGTCTAGGGGTATGGCTCAGATCACTTGCCTAACAGATCACAAGAACCTGGGCTCAATTTCTAGAGCATCAAAATGAATAAAAATCTAGAAAGATGAAGGAATAAAAAGACATGCATTAATATATTCACTGGACTGTTATAACAGTCAGCAGCAGGGTACTGGCTAAGTCAAGTATGATTTCATCCTCTTGGAAGCATTCATGCATCCATAATCAATTAAAGTCCTGAAAACTAGTCTGTAACTCAATGGACTCCCCAAGAGATGTGGGTGGGGAGAAGCCCCAACTAGAAATGTGCACACAGACAGACCACAAGGCAGCACAGAACTCGGGGTTGATCTGATGGGGAGGTGGAGTCAGGGTGCCTACACAGTTTTCCTCTCTGTCAGTATTATACAAAAAGTAAAATGAGAAGACTGATCCTACGTTACTGGGATTCTTCCTTTGGGAACAAAAGTGAACGAGAGGGTCTGCAGAGCCAGGTGTGGAAACTGTCCCTGTCCCCAGTGCACAGGCTGTGCTTCTGAAATGGTCCTGTATGCTCTGTGGAGAGTTGTGGTGCTGTGGGGTCCCCAAAAGCTAACTGAGACAAAACAGCCAATCTAGTACCTGGAGCAGCATGGGAAAATTTTAGAGCAAATGTATCAACTATTGTATTTATCCATAGGAAGGACCATAGCACCTCATTAATGTAGATTTTCTTAAGAGATTCTTGGCTTGCAAGGGATGTGAAGCGAGGGAGGGATGAAAGGTACAGTGGTCAGATTATCCCACTAGCATGCATCCCTCTGCCCTGTGAGAGTCCTTGGAAGTCAAAGGACCATGCATTCTACAGGTCTTTGCATCCATATTTCCTGGTTCCACAGGCAGGGATCTATGGAAGGTAGAGTAGGACACTTGTTGGGCAGGAAAGTGCATGACTTTGCACATGCAGGACCTAGGCACGAGGATAGGAAGAGGGTAGTGGCCTCAGTCAGAACATGCAACCATCTCAAAGCAGGTAGAAAACACTGGCATTCCAGCTCTGAAAATACCCAAGGTGATCGTGGCATAAATGACTCCTTCAGGCAACTGTGCCCATCGGGGAACTTCAGTAGGGAGATATCTGCCATAAAGACCTGCATGACATCCAAAAGCAGACAAAGGGAGGGGGGAGGGAGAGAAAGGATGAGAGAGAGAGGGAGAGAGAAAGAGAGATGACGAAGAGAGAGACACAGTCAAGTGGAGACTCAGATGTGTCATGTGGCTGCTTATCATCAAAGGCTAATGCTGTGGGCTTGTTAGAAGAGGCCACAGATGTCATTTCCAGACTCCATTCACATCTAGAGGTCACCACTATTTGTCACCAGTGGAATGTGGACAGAGTGACATGTGTCACTTCTGGCCTGGTGCTTTTATGGAGTAATCTGCTCTTTCTTTACAGAGGATTCTCTGGCCCCAGCGAGTGGCTGAACCAAACATTCATGGAGCATGGGTACCTAACCTATACAGGACCAGAGATGCCAATACTAGACTGCTCTGTAAATGAAATGGGTTTCATGTGTTACTATAAACCAACCATAAGGAGTTATATGTCACAGTAGCTGTTATTCCCCCAACCTGATGCATCAGAATGAAGACCCTGATATCTCGGGCAAGCAGAGTCCCCAGTGTCTCAAGCACAGGTTCCCAGGGCACTCAGTTCACATTTGCTCAGGCAGAGGACCCTGGCTCAGTGGAGCAGCATGGGGACATTGGTGATAAAGCGTGACAGGAGTCCAAGCAGCTGGCCTTGTGAAAGATATCAGCAAAATCAGTCAACCAACCAGCTAGAACAAGTGCTTTAACTCCTTCCTGCTGTGACCTGCAAGTCACAGTGCTCAAGCAGGTCTGGGAACAGCAGGAAGAAAGTGAGGACAGGCTAGCTTGCCATGCAGGTGAAGTCCTCTATCATAAGCATGGTCACCTCCCCAAGTTGTCCCCAGATCTCATCATGGCAGGAGAGATAGGCAGTCTTCCCACCACCTGCTTTCCTGGTCCACCCCACCTGGTGAGTTCAAACTATCCTGGTGAGAATCCCCAGATCTGGTGAGCAGCAGGGATACACTGGAGAGAGGCATCACCAAGAGGCCAGGTCTTTCTAACCAGTTGTTTGCGTGTAGAAGTGAAGTGCCTGCCCCCTGCACAGGCCCCCATGTGTCTGGGAGGCAGGTCCTGGCTAGCAGGGGCTACACCCAAGGCAGAAGCTGAGCTAAGACTATGTGGAGGTGCTTAGCAGGTGAGTCATTGTTTCTCCCTTTAGGATGTGCCCAGACAGCAGCACCGCACCCTTGGCTTGGGTCTGAAATCACAGCCTAGCTGTGACTTGCCAGCACCTCATTCGCTCAGTGGGCTGAGGTGAAGGGCGTCTGGCCCACTACGCCAACCACTTAGAATATCCATATCCTCAGTCCCAACAGGCCCTCACCTCCCACACAGTTCCTGGGACTGGAGGCCAAAGATAAGTGAGAAGCAAGAGAAGAGTCTGATGCAGGTTTAAGTTCTGGGTCCTGATCTCATCCCTAGCCCTGTTTATATGATACATACAATGCCCTGCTTTAGCCACCTTCATTCCCACCACCAGAGACCCACTCTCTTCAATACTTGTAAAGTACTGTATGACTGCAAAGCCTTTTCACTTACAAAGAAAGGAGTGAGAAGTAAGGAGATGTTGATTTGTATGTTGACTGTTCTCAAAGGCCCATGTGTCTCCATGTTGGGCTTGGTCCCCAATGTGGTGTTATTGGGAGACACCCTGGACCATTAAGAGAAGGGGTCTTGGAGCTGGAGAGATGGCTCAGTGTTTAAGAGTACTGACTGCTCTTGCAGAGGACCCAAGTGTGATTCCCAGCACCCACATAGCAGCTAACAACCATCTGTAACTCCAGTTTCAGGGGATCTGACACCTTCTTCTGAACTCTGAGAGCATTGCACAGATGGGTGAACTTTCATACATTCAGGCATAATTCTCATACACATAAAATAAAAATAAATAAATTTTAAAGAAGAATAGGGACCTTGTGGGAGGTCCTAAGTATTGGGGTACCCTCAAAGGGGATCACGGGACCCTATCTCTATCTCCTGCTCTTTTGCTTCTTGGCTTTGAAGTGAGCAATTTGCCACATCATACATTCCCCAGCATTGCCATGTGACAGGTCCAAAAGAAGCCCAGAGCAATTGGCCTGCCCAGTCTTGAACTAGAGCCTGCAAAAGTGTGAGCCCATATGAACCTTTTCTCTTTATAAGTTAAGTATCTCAGGTATTTCATGATAGTGACAAAGAGCCAATTTCTACAGACCAAGGATACTGGCCAAGAAGAGAAGGGTTCTAGCATCCAGCCCAGCCTGCACAGCCCATTCACAAAGTGTCCAGTACCTAAGTTAGGCCAGTCATGAAGTAACCAGCAAAGGCTTGCTGTTTTATTCAGGGAAGAAACCAAAGTCCTTACCATGGCCTGCAACCCCTTCTGTATCTTTCTCCATCACTCTCCCTGGACTTACCTGGTCTTGCCACACTTGTCTCTTTCTCAAACACACCAAAAACTTCCCAGACCCCAAACATTTGCATATACTGTGATGATAATAATTTCTCTGCCTATAAATTTCTTTTTTTTTCTCATCTGTTCCCCACAGCATTCAGAAATCTGCCCAAGATCACAGCATTGGTGTTAGGAAATAACTACTCTCCTGCAGCAAGCTAGATCCTGTTCTGTTTTCTGTCCTATCACATATCACCCAACACAATCTAGGGATATTTGTGGCCTTTCTTCTCTCCACTGAATGTGAGTGCTCTTGCCCTGACACCTGGAGGGAGCGAGGTAAGTAAGGGCCTATGAACACTGATGCTGAGCTCAGATTCAGCCTGGCCTCCACATCCACTGCTGCCCAGGGCCCCGGACCCCTTGCTAACACATCTCTCCTGCACCATTTCTCTGCTCTCAGTGCAGCAATAGCTAGGTAGGAGCCCAGAACCCATCAGACACAGAAATCTGTTCCCTGTGGACATCCTCAGCCCCTCCTCTCAGGGAGCCTAGGTCTGGACATCACACATAGACCAAAGGCTGAACGCTCTGTAGCCAGGTCTCAAGTGCAGCCGTTCTCTGGTAATGTTGCCCTATCTACCCTCTGCCTACCAGCCCATGGTGAGCACATCTGTCACCACCTGACAAGTTAGCACCACCTGTGGATTAGAGCAGTTAGCCCCGCTCCAGGCCCCAGCCCCTCAGACATACCATTGATGGATGTGTCATATGGCTCTGCCTCTTCATAGTAACCCTCAGGAGACTCAGTCTTTGGAACAGTGAGCTGCTTCCGCTCTGGAATCTGTGGCACAATCAGAGAAAAGCCAATAGCTTCAGATGGGGCATGCTGGGAGCACTGGAATGAACCTTTCATGTGGGAAGAGGTAAAAGGAGAAGGATGCCTGACAGGACTCTCAGCAACTTGGGGAAAAGAGCTTGTCAGGAATCTCAGCTTTGGTGATAGGACAGCTTCCAAGTCCTGCTTCCCTTCTAAGTAAGAATCATAACAGGACTATTTTCAGGGTGCATGAGTTCAAATGTGGGCGACTTGGGCGAGAGAGATGGCTTCATGGTTAAGAACTCTTGTTGTACATCATACATACTGGAGTTTTTCCTGGAACTCACATAACAAGCCAGGCATCCAGCAAAAACCAGTAACTCCAGCTCCAAGTGATCTGACATCCTCTTCTGGTCTCCCTGTGACTACAGGTACATACATATGTGCATACACTCATGTAGGCACACAATAACACACATATATACACATGAATCTTTTATTTTAATGTGAGAGACTCTTTCCATAGGGCCTGGTACCATGAAACACAAGGAAATAACTATCATTGCTGAGGGGTCTCCACAGCCCAGGGATCTGAAGGTTGTGTTGGGATGGCAGTGGATGTAATGGGAGCCATCCCTGCACTGACAGGCTGCTAGCTGAGGTACCAGCTGGCAGATGTGCCTGCTAAGATGTGAAAGGCCTATTGGGTCTGCTCCTTCCTGAGGGCCAGGCCTTGTACTCAGTAAGCACACATTTGGGAGCTGCTTATGGCTGGCCTCTTGCTTGTTGCCAGTGAGTCTTTGCTCTAAGTCATCCCTGTTATGTGCTCAGCCAGTAATCTGCAAAAGGGGAACCCGTAAGACCAGCTGCTTCCCGGGATCTGAGGGGAAGAGTCCTTTCCTCTAGCGGTGGTGGTGAGGTCTCCCCAGACATATCCTGAATTGGCTAGGTCTACAGCTCCAGCCTCCTAGAGCCCCACTTAGGAATCCTGTTCCTGTAAAGAGGTGGGTCCCATCCAGAGGGACACTCCAAGAATCTAAAATGTGGTTCTAGATCAGTCTTGTTAAAACTGGACAAAGGGGAGAAGAAGTCCTTTTGCTACAGGGTTATTACCCTGTCATCACAGGGTCTTGCCATCTTGCTAAAGAGGAGGAAGTCTTAGTTCCTGCTCTCTAGGCTGCCGGGGGGTGGAGGGGGCAGTATCAGAAGATAGCCCTGTAATTCTAGACACAAGGACTTATCAACAGAGGTCAAAGGAAAGAGATCCTAATGTCCAGGCCTAAGGGGCACTGTGTTAAGTACCAGTATCATTAAGATGTAAAGACTGTAACATTAAATAGAGATGCAGAAGAGAAGTGACTTCAATGCCAAAATAACTGCTAGAGGAAGGGACAAGGAGGAAAGTTACCCTGATCTGCAGTATCTACGAAGACCCACATTTTTGCTGTAAAAGGTGAACTAGTAAACATTTTAGGGATCTGTGGACCACCTGAGGTCTCTTTTCTCAGTTACTTAACCCAGCACTGCAAAAGCATCCACAGATGGTACATACTGAGGAAGTGTGGCTGGTGCAGGAAAACTACACTGATTAAAGCTGGTGGCTGATGGGAAGATTCAAGAGCTCTCCCATACCAGCCCCTGAGATAAGACATAAGATCTGAAGATGAAAGGCGGCCAGATGACCCGAGGCATCCTTGCAGCTCTAAGCAAACTTCCCTAGAGAACATGTACTATGGAAAGCTCTTGGGTCAGAGTGGGTGGGAGACCTCTTCCTACACTGACCATGGCAATGCCTGTTTGGGGTGTCAGCTGCTTCCCCACAAGGCAGCTCCCTTGAGAACAGCACTAATGTCATGGTCAGGCCTCGAAATGGGAACAGGGTGGAGATGTTGTGCTTACCATGAGGGTAGTCAATGGCCAGCAAACATCTGTTTCTCCTGTAGTGACCACAGCACCTGGCTGTGCAGACTGTGGCCTGGAAAGGCCTCAGCTATCTGAGTCACTGTCCACACCCACGAGTTTGCTCCAGACCCCTGGCTGCCCTTCACTGCTGGATGTGCCTGCTCTCTTCTGAATCTGTGGGGGTGGGGGCTGAAGTAGGACCCCATCACTACAGATGAGTCAGAGCTTGAAGCGGACGAGCATCCTGAGCTTGGAATAGAGGCGACTATCCTGGTCCATTCAGAGGCACTGTGGGCCTAACACTTGGTTGAAGGTTCTCCCATGACTTTGGAATCAAGAGAGGGAGAAAGGGGTTCTCTGAGGAAGGGAGGCTACAGGGTCACTCCAGGCTCAGGCCCTGGGGAGGAGAGGCCCGGCCTCAGAGGCTGCTGCTGTGGTGGCTCTGTATCGCCTCCCTCTGGCTCCACCTGACCCAACTCCTCTGAGAACTTTGGATTAAGAGTTATGGCTCCTTCAACTTGAGCAGGATGACCTGAGGGAGTACAATCTTGGGCGCATGTGTGGACGGGAAAGGGAGGGCTCTGATGAAGATCACCCCTTCCTAACACCACATCTGGAAGCACTAGGGGATGGAGGGGTAGTGGGTACCTCGGTCACTCCATATTTTTCTAGCAAAGCAAATCCACCCAGAGGAGGGAGGTGGCTTGCACTGTAAAGTCAGCTGGTGCTGCTGGAACTCTCCCCAGGCCTGGACTCTGTCCACCGGACAATTACCACACCTCAGAAAGGCCCCTGAGACTGAGCTATTCCTAGGTGGTGACATTTTTTCCAACTCTAGAACTAGCTTTCTCTTAAATGTGGCTCTTTCCACACTGAGCAGTCCCATCGGATACCACAGAAAATCTCTCTAGAGGAGATCATGTCCCCTGTCTTCTCCTCACCCCTCAGCTCATGCAGAGGCCCTTTCAAGCTTTTATACAAGGGACTAACAAAGGGGCAGCAAAAATCTGACAGGATCCCAGGGGTTGCCAGGTTCACTGTGACCTGATTCATTTAGAACTGAGACCAAGCTCCAGGTCCTGGACCTCTCAGTCTACACTGTGTTTGTAGAACAGATTTTAAAAACACTCAGCACTCAGTGCCAGAGGGACTCTTCCTGGTGAACACATCTCACCAGGTGTTGACCCAGGAGCACATCTAGCCTAACAGGTGACATTTCTGCTCAGTGACACCATAGTGAACAGTGCCTGGGATGCCTCAGAAAATATCAGAGAACCACAGCTTCTCTCCTCTAGAGACCCCAGCAGCTAGATGGGAGGGCTGTAGGCAGCTGCCTCCTATGTGCTCAAAGGTACTAGGGTCAGAAGCAAGAGAGGAGGCAGCTGGAAGAAGCACTGTGCTACAGAGCCAGCAAGAAGCCCGTTTTCAGGTTCTGCCTTCCTGACCCCCAGTTGAGGGGCCTTGACCAGGATTCTCAACTCATAAAGAGCGGTGACAAAATCGCCTTTCCTTTGATGGGTGGTGGGGGATCAGATTTGCAGGGAGTGGGGTGGAAGTTCAGGAGGCAGTGACCAGCATCATAGCATCCTGAGGACACCCAGAGATGAAGGATCAGCCCACCAATAATCATACTGTCAGAGAAGAGTCCTAACAGCTGTCACTCAGATCAAGGAACCTCAAGCACAGGACACTGGAACAACTCCTATACCCCATACTGGAGTCTGTATCCCAGCTTGAGTAACCCTGATGTCCTTGAAGATCCTCAAGGTCATTCTGGGGCTGGGAGTCCTCTTGGTGACATGAACCCACAGATTAGATGATGGTCACTTTCCCAAAGTTCAGGGACCTTGGAATACTAATCCAAGGCCCCTGCTTCCTGTATAACCTCCCATCTGTGGTCTGGTAATTTTTCTAGGAAAACTCCTCTTTCTGTGGAGAAGAATCTGGGTTCAAATCCTGATACTGCCACTTCCTGGCTATAAGACAATGTGCTTTCTCTCATATAAAATGTAAATACTCTGTAATAGGGTCTTACCTTTAAGTTCTGGGAGGCAATCAAGGGCTGTGGCTTATAATATTTTGGGAGTCTCTTGGACTACTCTGACCAACAATGCAAAGGGCGGTTTCTCTTGCCTGCCACTGTCATTTTTATTACATAGCCTTCAGCTATATAAATGCATATAAATATTGTATGCATATTTTTCAGTAGACTTAGGAAATAATATATTTCCCTTTGGTTTTTCACACTAAATATTATTTATCACCCTTTTCCCCTGCATAGCCCTCCCTACTCCCTCCACAGTTACAGAACCCCCCATTTTCCCCATTTCCTTCTTGAAAATGTTTCCTATTATTCCCCTCTCTTGAGCTCCTTCCCTGTCCCCCCATGATTCCTTTCTGTTTTCCTGGTTCCTGTGATTTTGAGCTAGGATCCACATAAGAGAACACGTTGTCTCTTGTTTTTCTGAGTCTGGGTTACCTAACTCAGTTGAACAATTTCTAGTTCCTTCCATTTACCTGCAAATTTCATGATTTCATTTTTTTTTACAGCTGAATAGAACTCCATTGTGTAAATGGATCACATTTTTCATTATCCATTCATCAGCTGAAGGACATTTAGGTTCCTACTGCTGAAGGCATGACATACTTCAGACACAGAACTTGGGACAACTGAGGGACGTCTTCCTCCCTGAAGACCAGCTCTCATAGTATCAGAAGGTACTATCCAAGCTTCCAAGGGAGAAAAGCAATCAGTGGTCCAACCCACCTGTCAAGCCTATGAACCAAACAATGACTGGCCCTGCAAGCTATCTCCATTAGTGCAATAGTGGAATTTTTATCTTGGAGGTAATCAACAGCTATCTAATTGAACTCAAGGCCTACTCCATAGAAGGGAATCCATGCATGTACTATAAACATAGCCAACTACACCTGGTTGGAGAAGTCATAGACTCTAGGGAAGAACTTACTAATGTAATTTCTTACTACATTCTAATGCATGTCCTTATATTTATTCACAGACAAATGTAGCTCTCACTGCTCAATAAAGAAGCTTCTTCTCGCACTAGATGGAGACTATTAGAGTTCCACAACTGGTCAAATGCAGAGAATAAGTGACTGTGAGGTGCCCAGCCCTACGTGATATATCTGCAACACAACCTCTACACGAAAGGCTCAGAGAACATCATAGAAGAGGGGGTGAAAAGATTTTAAGAGCCAGAGAATCAAGACACCTGCTGCTAGTTAATGCATTCTAGACATGCTAAAGAACCTGCACCAATGAATCTCCCAAGTATGGTAGTCTAACAAGATCTGTATAGTGACAAAACCAGTTGAAATGCCAAGTTGGATGGGGAAAATTTCATGGGGGTTCCACCTCAGGATGAAGAGCTACAGGTAATCAGGTAATATCAATGGATGCTGAGGGGGAAAAATCAGAGGCTATCTAGTCTCAAGTAGGTAGTTCTAAACACAGATACATATGAGCATCACTAATACACACACACACACACACACAGTATGTACATATATGTAACAATAATAAAAAAAGAGGACAAAGAATTATGAGGGAGGGGGGAAATGGGAAGAGTTGGAGGGTGACTGGATGTGCTGGATAGCTTTAGTGTCAACTTGACACACCTGGGTTGAGGGAGCCTCAATCGGGGAATTGCCTCTATTGGACTGGCCTGTGGCCATGTCTGAAGGGCATCTTCTTGATGAGTGATGTGGGAGGGCCCAGCTCACTGTGGGTGGTGCCACCCCTGGGCAGGTGGGCCTGTGTTGCATAAGAAAGCAGGCTGAGCAGGAGCTGAGGGAGCAAGCCTATAAGCAGCGTTCCTCCATGGCCTGTGCTCCAGCTCCTGCCTCCGGGTTCCTGCCCTGAGTTCCTACCTTGGGCTCCCTGATGAACTGCGTGCAACCTGGGAGATGTAAGACAAATAAACCATTTCCTCCCCAAGTTGGTACTGGTCAGAGTGTTTTGTCACAGCAATGAAGAACAAACTAAGACACTGGAGGTGGAAATTATTCAAATACAATATTCATATATGAGAATCTCAAAAAATAATTTTAAACATGTAACCACTCTGACTCATCTCCCTGAATGCTGACTTAATGGACCATATACAGTGCTGTGCAACTTATAGTCTTAATCCAGTGACTAGCACCATCTTGTTGGACAGATGCCAACATCACTGCCACTTAAACACCAAGGATCAAAGGGCTGGAGACTTTAAATAACTTTCTTATGGTCAAAGACCTAGTACTGGCCAACGTGAGAGCTGAACACAGGTCTTTATGATTCTATACTTTTACTTATCACCTATCCACTCATCCATACAAATATCTATCCACTCATCCACCTACCCATCACTCAACTATCCATCCATCCATCTATCCATCTACCTACCCATCTATCCACCCACCCATCCACCCACCCACCTACCACCAACTCAGCTACCCATCCACCTACCCACCCATCCACCCACCCACCTACTACCAACTCACCCACCTATCCACCTATCATCTATGCATCTACTCATTCACTCATCTCAATGAGCAACTATTTGTGTATGGCCTGGACAGTACAGACAATAAGCATGAAATAGTAGATGGAAGGCACAGCCCTCATCCTGGGAATCTTATATCTGGTGGACAAGATAATAAAAAGACGGTGTCAATAGTGGCATTATAACTGAGGCAAAGCAGGAGTGCAGTAGCTCCCTTAGCCAGGTCAGGAATGTCTACAGGCTTCTGAGAGCTGCAGAGGAGGCAGTCACTGACAAGTCAGTGGCCCAGAAAGCACAAAGTCCCGGAGGCAGAACCAACCCCAGCAGCACAACCCAGGGGCAGAAGGGCAGTGGGTAAGGAGCCACTGAGGAGGAGCCACGAAGAGGCTGCATACACCACTGCTGGGCTGGATGGGGCAGCCTGGGGACTGTGTCGGGAACAAGAAGTTTGTTTCCAAGCTGACCAAGAACTACTGGTGGTTAAAAAGTACTAGGTGCAGTGTGATACAAATTCCCTTTACTGTTATGTTTGTTTCTAAAAGATGATTTATAATATTTTATTTTACTCAGGTGTGTCTGTGTGTACATGCTCCCGTGTGTGTTCAGGTGCCCTAGAGCTGAAGTTACAGATATTTGTGAGCCGCCCAATGTGGGTGCTAGGATCTAAATTCTGGTCCTCTGATACAGTAGTAAGTGCACTTAACCACTAAGCCATCTCTCCAGCCCCTGGTTGTTTCTGAGGCAAGGTCTCATGTTTAGCCCATGCTGGCTAGAACTCACTGTGTAGCCTAGGCTAGTCTTGAGCTCATGATGATCCTCCTGCTTTGGCTTTCTGAATGCTGGAATTACAAGCATGAGCCACCACGCCTGGCTAAGAATTACATTCTTGAAAAGTCAAGAGTGACCAAAGCTGGTGACCAGAACTGCATATGGCCGTGCAGTGTTAGACACTTGGTAACACCGGATAAAGGCCTATGGCAAAACCTCCCCATGCCTATCACCCTATACACCAGGAATCTCTTCCTGTCCAGGTTTCCTAGGCTCCGTCCTCCTCACCCCCGTGCCCTGCGTACAGTGGGTGCGTGGAAAGTGTCAGAAGCTTGAAGGGCCAACACCCATGAGAGCAAGTGCAATTTCCCAGAAACACGGAGGTGAAGCAGGGGCCCTGGACCAACACTCACAGTCTTGGGAGGCGGGAGGTCTGGAAGGCTCTTCTGAGGGGCTGAAGAATGCTGGCTGGGTTCCCCATTTGCCAGTGGACCCTGCTCCTCGGGCACTGTGGGCAGCAAGAGGAGAAGGCTTTGGTGAGGGGTGGCAAGGTCTCATTACCCAGGAATGTCTGGTTACTTGTCCTGTCCCTGTCCTGTGAATTCTATTTGAGCAGATGTTAATTACCCAGGCAGGCGATCTGTGGAGCCAAAGTTGTTTTTTGTTTTTTTTTTATTTTTTTTCCTCCTCCAAGAATAGGGCACAGCAAAGTCCAGCCCTTGGCAGATTCCTTGTAAGTAACAAACTTGGGGTTTCTGGAAGGCTCTACACTCTTCCTCTACCTGCCCTATGTCAAAAATGGCCCAGCCACAGAGCTTCAGCGAATAGGGCAGCTGCTTGGTGGTCACTATCTTGAGCTGCACACAGCACAGACCTGGTGATTATGGCTCTTTCCTTCCATCATTTACCCAGAAGGCAAGTGACACTGGACAGAGTGGCCACTGGCACTTGAATGAGTTTCTCAGTCCCTGATTTAGGATTGGGTCGGGGAGCAGTAGAAGGTATGGACATCACACTGATGAAATTGGCCACCAACCCTCTTAAGGAAAGGTACCCAAGGCTCTTCTAAGTCATTCTATTTCTAGCCTAGCCAAACAGCTCAGGTGAGTCTCACCTCAGGCTCTGGTAGCTGATGTCTCAAAGTCAATCTTTTATCAGGACATGGTTGAGTCTTTGGGGGACTCTCTTCCCACCTGTCTCTAAGTCCTTCTGTTTGGGAATTGAGAGAAAAGTTTCTTATGTCTCCTCTTTGGAAGAGTTCTGCAATCTTCTGGGTCAGTTGTACCCCAGAGGTTCAAAGAGAAGGTCTCTAGGCATAAGACTAAGGTGTTATAAGTCCTTCCAAAAGAGAACCTGTGCTGCCTGGGAATGCCCTGTGAGCTTCATCTTTTAATATGACTACAGTAGCTGATACCATTTCTCCTCCCTCCTCCCAAGCAGACTTCCACCCAAAGACTCAGGGCTAGAACCGTGGGATCAGCATCATACACAGCTGCTCTCTTAGTGTCTGAATTATGACTTCCTGTTCCTGAAACAATGCTGGGAAAAGTCAAGAGATTTTAGGGACAGATTCCTCATCCAATGGGCAAAGAGGTACCGGCCCTGTTGAAACATCTAAAAATACATAAACCCAAAATACCATCAACCAAAATGTGGATTCTTAAAATAACCTTCTCCAGGCCTGTCTGTACACTGATGGGGAACTTTGTACCTCCTTCTCCATGAGTTAGGCAGCCCAGCAGCCTGTCAGCCCCATACCTTTGTCCAGAGATGCTGAGTTCTGTTCCCTGCTGACTGACACTTTGTTCATATAAATATATTCTTCATCAGAACCTGCAGAGGGGAGACAGGAGACACAACTTCATGTGACTTTGCTTTGCCTCTAGAGAGAGGCAGTGTTCCCCTAAGACATTTTCATTGGCTTAAGGTCCAGTACCAGCACTTGGGGTTCAAACTGAGTAAAAGTTTACCATAGAGAGAAGTGACAGACTTCCAGCTGGCTGCTGATTTTCTAACTCTGGGTGGGTGGGAGGAGAGGGGGAAGGGCAGGGTACAGAGGATAGTTCCAGCCATAGAAATGGTAAACTGACAGATATTCATCCCTTAGAGAGCTGTGGCACATTCCACCAAATAGCACTATCTCTCCGGATTTCATTGACATTGTAAAATACTTCCTATCATCATCCTAGCCTGAATCACTGTAACAGAATAAATCGGTCTAGGTATCTAGATAAGGTAAACCACACTGAGGACCTGGAAACTTAAGTCCCAAAGTCCAGGATGGAGGTGGGAGGGCAACATAGACTTGGGGAAGAAAGGCCAGCTGAATAGACAAATCATATGAACTCTGAGTCTAAAGAGGTGGGAAGGCAAACAGAAAGTTGGGGCCCTAGTCCCCTGCTCTAGCTACAATCTGCCCTGTAGTCTGTACCCTGCAGCAGCACAAACCATCCTCTCCTTTAAATTACTGGTATATAGGTCAGGACACCTTTCTGGTTGGTGTCTGCTGACCTCCTGCCACATGCCTGGTTCCTACCTCCCATGCACAGGTCCTCAGAAACTACTAAGGAAGCTCTCCATGGTTTCTCCTCTTCTGAGTCCTCCAGATGGATGGTCATTTGTGGCTCTTGATTTTCATTTCCTAACAACCTGTAGCTGGTAAATTCCTGGCTGGACAGTGTTCCTGAGACAAGAGAGCCAATACTAACCTTTGGCAAAAGAGCCAATTCACTATCAAGCTTTTCAGTAACTACAGGTTTCTGACATCAGCCAAAAGTCTGCAAAAAAGGCCCGAGAACCCAAAGGATCAGGAGGAGGCTGGATAGATTCTCAATCATTAGCCAACTCGCTAGCCAGAACCAGTTAGCAACATCACCCTCTGCCAAGGATATAGCTGATATGAAGGGGGCTATACAACTCAGGGGACAAGGGGGAAGCAGGAGATGGTGTTCCACCAAGCACTGCCATGACCAGCACAATTCTGGGCTGAACACCTGATCCCTGTACCCCTGAATGTAAAGCATTCAAGGAGGAATGCTGCCAGTTCTTACTGAACTCTGAGGTTTTTAAAAGTTACAAACTCAAATATTAGGGAATATGAGAAAGCAAAGTTAGCCAATAGCTAACAAAGATTAGGGGCAACTGGTTACTGCTGGGTGAGGAACAGCTGATCTTCCTAAAACAAGGGACTCTAGATAGGCTGAGGTCTCAGTGTATGGAATTACACTAGGGAATGGCTGGGGACACTGACAACACAGTGGGCCTTAACAGGGATGACAGAGTATATGGGCTGCAGTCAGGGGCTATGGGAGGGTGCCAGTGGGGACAGGGGATAAAGATGATTAAGAGTGTTTGAGATGTTCTGTATGAAATACACAAAAAAATCAATAAAAACAAATTATAAAAAGAGATGAGGGGCAAATAACTTGAAGGCTCAAAATAGAAAAATGGTAAAGTCATAGAACCTCAATATTCAGAATGGTATGCATGTTATAACCCTTCAGAAAATAAATGGATTGCTGAAGACTGTAAACGGACAATTATTTTGGAGTTGATTTTGGAGGACAATTTTACGTGATCATGTCTTTTATTTCAGCATCTCTACAGCCAGAACTCTATCTTACAGATAAACTCCAGCATAGAAACAGAATTTCACTGGAAGTTGTTCACTGTAATATTGCATAAGGTTTTTGGTTTTGTTTGAAAAGACTACAACTGGGAAATGTCTACCAGTAAGGGGTTGGGTGAATATTAGGGCTCATCCATCGGTATTACCCAGCTGTGAAGAATCACAAGCTCTATGCCTGTTGTTTGTAAGAGATCCACAATTTAGAGTTAAATTCAAAGATCAAGTTTCAGAACAAAAAAGAGAGAAATACACAATCTGCCAACAAGTAGAAATGTGTGTGTTCAGCAATTCTAAATATAGGAGTAATGAAACACAGAGGCAGACCACAAATACACCAATAAATCCAGATGACACTGATATGGGTCAGAAAATATCATTGACTAAGTTCACACTCCAGCCCAAAATAGTAAAAATAAGATACTGTTGTTGCTTTCTTAATTGTTAAGAATGTAAGCAGATACTTTCTACCCAAGATGATAATTTGTAAATTACAGAGAAAACTCACACCAGCCACCTCAGCAGGCCGCTTATACCTGCCTTGGGCTCTGCAGGCCTGCAGTTGACATGGTTTTGATTCACAGAGGGCTGCTAATCCAATACTACCGTGGGGCATGGAGGTATAGCTCAGTGGTAAAGCATTTGTCTAGCATAAAAGAGGCCCTAGGTTCAATCTCCAACACCAGAACAAAATTAGTACAAGATTATCCAGCTATGCTGCACGAGACTCTCAAGACCCTCAGCAATTATAAGAACACGGTGAATGTGGCCTTCAATCAAGGCTGCTGTGTAGTTCCCTATCTAGGGAGCAGCTGCCTTGGGTTACAGACACTTCTAGTGTTTAATCTTTCATTTTCAGAAGAGCATTGAGCTCCTTGTAGAAGAAAAGTCTTGCCAAGTCCTAACAGCTGAGTTTCGTTGATTTTAATGTCAGGTGTTTGTGACTAGAAGTGTTGTGTGGAAATAGTAAGAACCATCTGAGGGCATCAAATCCATCTGCCTCTCGGCAGGAGCAGCCACCATCCCTGTCAGGGAAGAGAAGTATCCACCTGCTCCAGCTGTCACAGTCCTGAATCAGCATCAGCAGTGTGATAGGTGCTGGGGTTTGGCCGAGAACCACAGAGATGTTGTCTCTGCCTTCACAAACCCAACAGTCTTGTGGGGGAGGAAGGCCCTACTTGGGTATTCATGCAGCAAGGAGAAATGTCAAGGATGAAGGCAACTGAAAAGACAAGCTCATAGACAGCATTGGACAAAGTATGTTGTTCCTAGGGGCTTTTCCTTATCTGCTGAGATTGACTCTTCTCATAGATCTGGGGCAGGGAAGGGAGGAGAGGCCGAGCCTCTTCACTACGGTCGGATGGACAAAGTGTTTGAAGTGCCTCCTGTGCAAGCAGCCACTGGAACATCCTATAGCCTTGAACAGGGGAGGTCGGGGACATGGTTCTTGCTGGCAAAGGCATGACATACCACAGGCAGCCAAGTTCCTGTTAAAATGGCCCTCAATCTGTGCTCTGCCACCAGCCAGACAAAAAGAGATAGTAGATAATTCTTGTTAGGTTGAAAAAAACAAAAGCCCAGAAAACCCATCTGAGTGACTCTGTTTGAAAAATATGAACACACACACACACACACACACACACACACACAGGACCACAAGCTATCCTGAAATGAGCAGAATGCCTCCCCTTCAAGGCCATGGCACACTAAGTTTAGGAGTTACACAAGTGAGGCAGGGTGGGAGACCAAGAGGAAAGATGGATGCTTTAATTTGGGAGTGGGCATCTTAGGATTCAATCTTGAGTGGCACAAGGTTTAATCCATTGTGACAGACAGGGGAGGGAGGAGAATACAATGGTTAGGTATACCTGCTCTGGCTCTGCTGCTCACAATCAGGGGCCTCTGGGCAAGTAACTTGCCAAGCCCTGGTTCCTTCATTGGTAAACACCATAACAACTCCCTCACAAATCTGGGACAAGGATTAAATGACATAATCCATGTCACTGAACACATTAAACACTGTCCCAGGCCACAGTAAGAACAGTCCATGTTGGTTTTCTGTAGCCTAAGCAATGCCAAGAGGACCAGAAGGCAAGGTCTCTGTTGGTATGTGGGGGTCACCCCTGAGAATTTCAAGTGGTGGTCACAGGCCTCAATGTGATTGTGCACATTTAACAGTAGTGTTGGGACTCGCTGAAGGTGGTTCACTTTGGCGACCCCTGATCAGCTGCAGAGGCCATGATTGGGGAGAGTCAGATTGAGAGTAGAGCAAAGGCTACCCTACAGGGAGCTATGCAGCTTACTAAACCAAACGAGTTCCAATACATAAGGAATTGCTGGTACACCGGCACCCAGAACTACAGGTCAGACAGATGACAGAGGGTGTTTTCCTAACAGTCTGTCTTTATAATTGAACGTTCTAAGCCAGAGCACATCTTTAAAGGTCTGGCGAGCCTGCTGTTTAAAGGGTTCCAGGGATGAATCCTCTGTAGAGTGACTCATCCTTCTCTAGCCTTCCCTCTTTGTAGTGTGAATACCCCCTCTGTGTTCCCATCAGGGTTTCTTTGATGTGCAGGCTAGCAGACGCTGCTACAAAGCCAGGAGGAGCCTGGGAACTGAGGAGTGACCTAGAGAGGGGCAAAGGCCTAAGGCATATAGACACATACACCTGCTCTACCACCCCTCTGCCTTTTAGGGAACAGAAATGCATTCTACAGGGAACAAAAAAGGGAAAGGAAGCCCTGAAAGGCAGCCTGGAAGATTCGAGCTGGATGCAGGGGGGCTTTGGGGGACTGTGACAGCTGGAGCAGTGGATACTTCCCTTCCCTGACAGGGATGGTGGCTGCTCCTGCTGAGACGCAGATGGGTTTGATGCCCTTGGATGGTTCTTATTGTTTCCACACAACACTTCTAGTCATAATCACCTGACATTAAAATCAATGAAACTCAGCTGTTAGGACTTCATAAGACCTTTCTTCTACAAAATTCTGAATTTGCAAGAAATGAACTCTTCTGTCCACAAGAAGAATTATATAGAATGTTCACACAGCCTTAAAGCTTTACAGTTCAAACATGTGAGCATCCCAAAGAGTCATGAACAAGTGAATAAACAGACTGTGGTGTGTTCACAGGATGGAACATTCTAGCGATAAACAAACTACAGACACACCCAACAGCTTGCAAGAGTCTCCAAAGAAAGTCACAGTATTCAGTATGATGTCATTTACCCAAAGATACAGAATAAGTACCATTCTACTTTGAGAAAAATTAGAGTAATGGCTGCCTTGGGAAGGGAATTAGAGGAAATGGAGCAAGATCGAATTTAAAGGGAAAAATTTGTGTGTGCACATGCACATATGTCCACATGCGTGTGGAGGCCTCAACGCAGGTGTTGGTTTTCAATTGCTCTTCACCTTAGTTGTTACTCTCTTCTTTGTGTGTGTGTGTGTGTGCGTGTGTGTGTGTGTGTGTGTGTGTGTAGGGGGGGGTTGGTTTTCAATTGCTCTTCACCTTAGTTGTTGTTACTCTCTTCTTTGTGTGTGCGTGTGTGTGTGTGTGTGTGTGTGTGTGTTTGGGGGGGTTGTACATGTGTGCACATGTTTATGTGAAGGCATGCTCACCTGTGTGGGTGCATGTGGGAGCCAGAGGTTGACACTGGCTGTTTTCTTCAGTTGCTTCTCCACATTATTATTATTTGAGACACAATCTCTTCACTGAATCTGGGGCTCACCATTTCGGCTAGACTAGCTGGCTAGCACCTGGGATCCTCCTGTATCCTCTTCCTCTCCTCCCAACTCCCTCCCCTACAATGGGGTTACAGATGCACATTGCCATGCCCAGCTTTTTATGTGGGTGCTAGGACTCTAAACTCGGGTCCTCATGCTTACACAGTAAGTGTTCTACTCACTGAACCATAACTCCAGCCCTTCCACTTTATTTTTGGAGACAGCATTTTTCACTGAGCTCACTGATTCAGCTTGATTGGCTGGCCAGTACCTGGTGGAGATCTGCCTGCCTCTGCCTCCCTGCACTGGGATAACAATGGGCACACACTGCAGTACCTAGACTCCTGGGTGGTAGAGATCGAACTCGGGGCTTCATGCTTGTGTGGCAAGAATTTACCAACTGAGCCATCTCCTTAGCCCACAAGATAGAATTTTCTGGATGACATGAAATTATTTTCAAATAGTTGGTACCCTGGTGCATATAATTATCAAAATTTACTGAATTGCATACTTAATTCTGTATGCTTTATTATATGTAACTTGACCACAATAAAAAGAAAGGAAAAATTGTGAACTCAGCATTCTGTGATTTACAGTCTTAAAGCTGTATTTTCTTCCTCTCCCCTTGAACTAGCCTCCATGATCTCAGTTTCCTCCTGCGTAGGAACAGCACCACCCTTGTAGGGATATCTTAAAGATGAACCAAGTTCATAAAGATGCAGTCTAACTGGACAGTGCCCAAGGAAGCCTTATGTATTCTTAATAGTTTATTATTTCTTCTTGGCTTTGAAGCAGTAGGGAAGGGGCTTTGAAAATACTTCAAGTAAAACCTCACTCCTAGGCTGCCCTGTTGAGTATTCAGAGATTTCTGGGGTTCCCCATGCACCACTGTTGTGGGCTGAACTATGCCCCCAATTTATATATTCAATCCTACCTGAGGACCTCAGAATATGACTATATTTGAAGATGGGGCCTTTAAAGAGGTCATTAGGATAGACCCTGGTCCTATATGACTGGTGTACTTATACAAAGAGGTGATTGGGGCACAGACACACACAGAGGGATGACCATTAGTGGACACAGGGAGATGACAGCCATTGGTAAGCCAAGGAGAGGGTCCTCAGAAAGAGCCAATTTCTTGATCCCACCCAGTCTGTGACATGGTGTTCTGACAATCTGGCCAAATGCTGCCATGTTTCTATGTCTGTGGGATGGCCAGTCCCCAGGTCCCAGGCCCACACTTACTGCTGCTCTTGGTGTACAGCCTCAGGAGCTCCACCAGGCCACTCTTCCTCACCACAGCTGCACTGCTCAGGTTCTCCTGATCCAGAACCTTGAGGAAGTCTTCCAGCTCTGTCAGCAGCTGCTCCAGGGCTAGAGACCAAAAACAGAAGCCTTTCAGCGACTGACTGCTTCTCTGAAGACCTGGCAGTACCCAACCAAGTCCCCTCTGGCCCCTGGAGGCAGGGTGGTGTGAGGCCTGGTGGAACCGACGGGTGTGGAGGGGCATTCTCAGTTTCAAAGTCACAATGGGAGAAAAAACGGGCCTTTGAGTTTGAGATGGACAACTTTGACAGAAGTCACGGGTCTACCATGTGCTAGAAGAGTGATGGTGGCTCAGCGGGCCCACCATTCTGAGGGTATCTCCTCCATCACCAACATCTGCCCTTACAGAGTTCTTGAGAATAACACTCAGTCTCCAAAGAGTTCTCCTGGCTGCTGAGCTCTGACCCTGAGCAGTGGTTATAAATCTCATCATAATCCTCTCTAGGTGACACAGGCCTTGCAACTTAACCTTCTCAGGTCATTTATATAAATACTTTTTAAAGTTCTTTCCATCTCTGAAATCCTATGACTTTGAGGCTTAGCTATATGGCTCTCTGAAACACAAACTTGCTCTTGGATGCCCATGGGTTCCCCAGATGGTCCTTCTCCAGTCTGAATAGCACTGCCTACCACATTTATCACCATATTCTATAGCCTGCCCCTCCCCTCCTTCTAGAACATTCTCACATTATAGCTTGTGTCCTTTCTGAGACCAGATCCTATATCCAGGTCTAGGTCTATTGCATTCCTCCTGGGGCACCCTCTCTGGGTCTTTAAGACAGTGAAGGCTCCTTTGAAAGATAATCTCATGCCTTAGCCTTGGCCCCCACAGAAGGCTAAGCTCTGGTCCTCCAAAATGTCTATGCTACTTCACACAGAAAGCAACTTCACAGATGTGACTGATGTAAGGAGATGATCCTGGGTTGTCCAGAGGAGCCCTAAGTCATCACAAGAGCCCTGATAAGAGGAAAGAGAGTCAGAGAGATAAGATGGGAGGAGGAGGCAGGAGTCAGAGGAGAAAAGGTACCTCAGTGTTGGCTCTGAGGCTTGAAGAAGAGACTACAAGTCAAGGAACGTAAGAGACCCTTGGAAGATGGAAATGGATCATCTTCTGGAATGCTCTGAGAGAGAGAGAGAGAGAGAGAGAGAGAGAGAGAGAGAGAGAGAGAGAGAGCTACAGATGCTTCAATTCTGATCTCCAGATTGCAGATTCATTAACTGCAAGCTAATGAATTTGTGTGACTGTATCACTGAGCCTGATAGTTGGTCATAGCAACAGGAGAATCACAGCTCTGACTGTGCCATACATATCAATAATGGACTCTGTACTTAGCTCATATTTCCAGGGTACCACACAATGTCCGATAAGCACAGTACTAACTAAATAAATGAACGGAAGTAAAGGAAACCCATTCCCTTACTGTGTACACAAAAGCATTCCATGGTCACTCAAGAAAAACTAATTCCTGCTCTGGTCAGAACTGGAGAAAAGCCTACTGAAAATCCAAGGATCTGGCATAGACCACTTCACTAAAACACTAAGCAGGGAGGCCTTTCCAAAGGAACTTGCCCTACTTTTCTATTTGCTTATGCATGCATGTATACATATATACGTACATGCATACACACTCACCCAGTACCAGGGCCTCACACATGCTAGACAAGCACTGTACCACTAAGCTATACTCCCACACTGCCTTTCTAATTTACCATCCTTCTCCCAGTTGGCCTGACTGAAGCCAACTTACAAAGTTCACTGCATGAACTAAAATTCTAAAGTTGTAGAATCTGACTCCTGCTTTCCTTGTGATCTGTCTTCTTGAGACCAGCTAGAGCTCTTTGTATCATGGGCCACTTATCATCAAGAATTTTTCAATACAGGGATTTAACACAGAGCATCTCACATGCCAGGTCAGTCTACCACTGAGCTCTATCCCCCACCTTTTTATTTAATATATACTTTTTGAGACAGTCTCATTAAATTGCTAAGGCTGGCCTTGAACTCACTCTGATGTCCAGACTGGCCCAAACTTGAAATCCTCCTGATTTAACTACCCGAGTACCTAGAATTACAGGTATGCATCAACCAGGTCAACCTTTGACAGTGTCATCTGGGAGCCAGTGAACAGTTGGGAAAACAGGCAGGTTGATGGAATTCTGAGCTCCTTTGCTCACCCCCTTCCCCAGTCTTTCTGGTATTCTGGTCAGACCCACAGCACCACTGGGCAAGTTTATAAATAACCAGAGGGAGGGCAGGAGGGAGGGAGGGAGAGGGCACTAGGTATATGACAGGACAAGGCAGAGAATAAACTGTTTTAGGGTAGTCCAGTGTCTACTCAAAGAGGCTGGGACATGGGCATCCCGAATAGACAGAGAGGGGTGAGAGGACAGTTGTCATCATGGGACCATGGGTAGCATCATTAGAAGATGTGCCCAGCATGCACACAGCCTAGTCCTCCATCATCTGAGCAAGTGGGGCCTTTCTCCTGGAGCCTCACCTTGGTCCCCAAGGCTCAATAAAGTTGGAAGTCGCAATGCCCTCATGCAAGGATTGCTCTCCAGGACCTGGGCAAATGGGCAGAGGTGGAACAGCCATGGAAATGACTAGAACTGGAATTAAAAAGGGCAGGGGGATAGCAAAATGACAGCTCTTGCCTGACAAAGCAAGAAATGCTTATAATCCAACTTCATAACCTTGAGCCCGGCAGCCTGCACACAAATCTTTTCTGATATTAACTTAACAAGAGCTTAGTCAGGGTCGATTTATATGGGTCCTAGAGAGATTAAAAGGACAAGTATTAAACAGATCCCTAAACTTAAAGGCCTTAGGTTGAGTTCTACTGTGTTTTGGACATTCATGAGCCTCCTATCTGTTGGGACTGGGGTGATTTCAGAAAAGGCAGGGGCTAACCAAGGGCAGCTATGAGCAAAGGGACGCCAAACCTGGCCCTCAGTGCCAGTAGACAAGGCAAAGTGAAAGGGTCTTGTGAAGAAACGGGGATCTTGGTTGTGTTTTCCCTGAACCTCTGGACCTCCATCGCCACTTCAGAATGACCCGAAGAGGAAAAAGGATGACTCTGGAAATGCCTCTTCATTTCCTCATCCTCAGCTTTTCCCAAAAGCTGCCCGATTCCTGGAAAACAGTCTGCTTCTGTTTCACACTAAGCCAAAGGGGAGAAGTATGTGCCTGGCTCTGGAGAGACATTGGTGACCTAGAAAGGACCTCAGCACTTGGGGAGGGGGGCGCACCCAGTGAACACACAGAGACAAGGTTAATACAAGATGTTTCCAAACACCAGGAATGCACAGACATGACAAGGAACGAGGCTGCATCTGGGCTTAGGAGGGCGAAGAGTTCACAAGCTGGTTGAAGTACATGAGGGGAGCTCATCAGGAGCAGATGGGGAATCTATGAATGGCTCTGTGTGTCACAAGACACAGCATGGTGCTAGAGGGACTGCGCTTTAAAGGGAGAAGGTGGATTCTGATGCCAGCATTATGAACTGGGTACGTAGGAAAGACTGCAAAGGCTTCATTTGCTTTGTTTAGGAATGAGTACCAATCCTACAGGGCCTCAAGGCAGTGAACAGGGCCTCTGTTCTTCCTGCAGACTGGAAATAAAAACTGAAGACAGTAGAGAATACCAAAGGATGTGAGGGGAGGCCAGGGAGACGACTGCATGGGTGTAATGAGGATGATGAGGGGGTGAGTTAATCAGACAGCTGGACCCCTGCCATCTCCAATTCCCATAGCCACTCTGCAAGTGCAGCTTTGGGGATGGACTACTGAGGCTGTGTTATAGCCCAACTGGGTTGCATCCCCAGTGAGTAGTGGCAGTGAGGTTCAAACCCAAGTATGTCTAAGTTCAAAGGACTTGTCTGCAATCCATCAGCTGGAGTCATTCCCATGGAGCTGCTGAGGGTGATTTCAGTCACGGCTTCTGGTCCACCATACCCAAGGCAGGGTTTCAGGAAGACAAGTGAAAGACGGAGACAAGGGTACCTGGAGATCATTTGGTTGGATATAGGGACTGTAAGGGAAGAAGCTCAAATGACAGGGAGACACAGAACGTTGCCATACTTGCAGCCCTGTGGAGAGTGTGGCTGGAGGCTCTGCTTCCTGTTAGTGGGGGACTGACCAGGCAGATGGGTGCAGGAACAGCAGTATCTAGTGTGCTCTCATTTGAGAGCAGCACATCAGGAAAAACAGTTTGAGGAAATGCAAGCTTGGAGGCCAATGTGAGATTCTGGGGACCAGCACGCATCACTTCCCATCCTCTCGGATCCACATCACTTAGTCTGCCCCAAGTGCCCTCTCCATGAAGCCACAGGTGACCAGTCACATTCCACTCTCTTGCCAGCTCTACCTCCCCTGGCTCCTTTCTGTTTAAGTTCTGGGTCACCTCAGCAGGTACATTCTGGCTCATACCAGGACAGACGTGAAGCCCCTTGTGGTCAGCAGTCAGGCTTTGTGGATTGGGTATCGCATCAGTTCCTTAGTTCCTTTTCTCATTGCTGTGATAGAATACCTGACAAAAGCAACTTAAGGAAGGAAGGGTTTATTTGGGCTCAGTTTGAGGGCACAATCCATCATGGCGGGGAGAGAGATGAATGCTGGTGCTTGGTTTGCTTCTTTTTATTCAGTCTCGGTTCCCAGCCCATGGGATGGTCTTCCTTGCCCAGTTAAACCCTTCTAGAAACACCCTGATAAATACATCCAGGGAAGTGTTTCCATGGTGATTCTATGTTTTGTTTTGAGACAGGGTATCCCTGTAGCCCCATCCATGGTGATTCTAAATCCCACTAAGTTGGCAATGGAGATCAACCATCACAGACGAGGTATCAAGTGCCCAGAGTCGGTCAGCCTTCCTCTCCAGATACATCCTGCAGGGTCCAGCTATAGGCATAGGCGCTTGGAAATAACAATCAACAGAGGCAAAACTCCAATATGTACCAACCCCTGGTGACATTCTTCAACCCCCAGGGCTCAGAAGGGCAGGCCACCCCTCAGAGGAATGTGGCTGTTCCATTGAGGCTGGGGACCCCGCC